TGATGCATCTTGGGTTTTCGGAGAATGTCGACCAAAAAGTAGGTCACAGTGACCTACTTTTGAATATCTCAGGTGCGTATTAGCTTAGAATCATCAAACTTTGTCAGTTTAGGCACCTTGGGTTTTCGGAGAACGTTGACCAAAAAGTAGGTCACTGTGACCTACTTTTGAATATCTCAGGTATGTATTAGCTTAGAATCATCAAACTTTGTCAGTTTAGGCACCTTGGGTTTTCGGAGAACGTCGACCAAAAAGTAGGTCACTGTGACCTACTTTTGATAATTTTTGGCTATATTTGATTATATCTGGTACTTTTTGGCTCGGAATCATCAAACTTTGTCAGTTGAGGCATCTTACGGTTTCATTGAATGTCCAACAAGAAGTAGGTCACGGTGACCTACTTTTGAATATCTCATGTACTTATTGGCTTAGAATCAGCAAATTTTCTCAGTTTAGGCATCTTGGATGTTTGGATAACGTCGTCAAAAAAGTAGGTCATCGTGACCTACTTTTGACATTTGATGGCTATATTTAATTATCTCTGGAACTAATTGGCTTAGAATTGTCAAACTTTGTCAGATGATGCATCTTGGGTTTTCAGAGAATGTTGACCAAAAGTAGGTCATGGTGACCTACTTTTGAATATCTCAGGTACTTATTTAATTGGAATCATCAGTCTTTGTCAATTAATGTATCTTGAGTCCTCAGAAAATTCCAATCAAAAGGTAGGTCACTTTGACTTACTTATGGTATTTGATAATTATATTATAATATCTTCAGTCTTAACTGGCTAAATATTATCAAACTTTGTAAGTTGATGCATTTTGGGTCTTATGATACTAATAGAGTTGGAGGCTTCTAATAGAAGTGATAGATTGTACAATTTATCAGAAGAGCGATTTAAGGCCCTTGGGCCTCTTGTTTATTTCCTTTCGTGTTTGTTCTTTGATTGTCCTATATTCCATTTTTTCCATAATGGTAGACATAATTGAGAAAAAAATCATTCCCGATTTCTCGTTATTGCTCGCATTGGAGATGGAATAATCTTGACACAATTTACAAGCATGTATTGCTGTATTTCTCTGCAATGCAAGTATCTTCAGGATGAAGAAACAGTTTAATTTTCGTGAAATCAAGAAAGCTTGTTGTAAAACTACTAGTACTTGCAATTTACAAATAAAGCTATGTTTAACCGATTCACATGCATATTAAATTTCTTACGATGAATTGATACACAAGTTTGACATCCACATGATCAATGTGTTTTTCCAAGTCTTGCAAACACCAAATAAACTGCTGTTTTCCGCCATTATTTTAAGCGTCCGAATGACCAAAAACCATATGGTATAGCGTTCCATTTTAGATAAGTCGTACATAAAAAATTCAATATAACCAAAACAATACGTTTTGATTTGGGGAAAAAAGCAGTTGAAAATTGGGAAAAAAATAGTAATTTTTGAGAGGGGAAAGGGCCGATATTCGGACCTAAATTGAGTGTAGAAAAATCACTGTACACTTAATTGAAAAAATGTTCACCCTACTCCCCAATACTCCCTGTCTGTTTTATGATATAGGAATTATAATTTTAAGGATCAAGTAAATTTTAGAACAATGTCTACACATTCACCTAACACATATTAAAAAAATGAATATATAATGAAAGACTTATAAAGAATTGATTTTTTAAATTATATTTTGATCAACATCACAAAATTTATATAACTGGCCCAAACTAGCAGATGATGAAATTAATAAGCAATTAAATGTTCTACTTTCCTATTTGTAAGCATTATGTGTCCAGTGGTAAGGAGCCTATTAGGATAGCATAAAAAAGGAATGTACAAATGTTAATAATTGATTTATCAAAAAAAATTTTTTTTTTCCTTCTCCTTTGGGATTTTTTTATTCTCATGTTCATAACTAAACCTAAACCTATAAAAAAATGCTGGCCTTATAATGAAGAAAAGGGCCTCTTTCAAAATAGATAATTTCAGGGCCGCTGGGTCAGGGGTACCAGGGGGGTACTTTGACTAAAAATAAATTAATGCTTTGAAATCTGCCCTTTGATAAGCAATGGTGCCTCTTTCAAAATTTGTGAATTTCATGGCTTTTGGATTAAAACACGAACCAAATACAATTGCTGGAAGTTGTTACATGATACTCAGGTGACCCATAAGGCCCCTGGACCTCTTGTTCGCTCACCTGAGCCGAAGGCTCAGGTGAGCTTTTTTGATCACGTTTTGTCCGTCGTCCTTCTAGCTGTCCGTCTGTCCGTCAGTAAACTTTTCTAGTAAAGAACAGAATGATCAAAGCTTCTCAGGTGAGCAATGTGGCCCATGGGCCTCTTGTTTAGCTCACCTGAGCCGAAGGCTCAAGTGAGTTTTTCTGATCAAAATTTTTCTGTTGTCTGTCGTTGTTGTCGTTGTAAACTTTTCACATTTTCATATCCTTCTCAAGAACCACTTGGCCAATTTCAACCAAACTTGCTACAAAGCATCCTTGGGTAAAGGGCATTCAAGATTGTTCAAATGAAGGGCCCAGCCCTCTTCCAAGGGGAGATAATTATAAATTAATGAAAAATTAATGGTATTTTTTAAAAATCTTCTTCTCCAGAACCATTGGGCCAAGAAAGATGAGACTCATGTGGAAACATCCTCAGGTAGTGTAGATTCAAGTTTGTTCAAATCATGACCCCCGGGCGGGGCCACAGTGGCTGATTAAAGTTTAACATAGGAATATATAGGAAAAATCTTTAAAAATCTTCCTCTCCAGAACCATTGGGCCAGGAAAGTTGAATGTCAACTCATGTTGAAGCATCCTCATGTAGTGTAGACTCAAGTTTGTTTAAATCCTGACCCCCCGGGATAGGGGGCACAATGGCTGATCAAAGTTTTACATAGAAATATATAGAAAAAATCTTCTCCAGAACCATTGGGCCAGGAAATGAAACTCATGTGGAAGCATCCTCATGTAGTGTAGATTCAAGTTTCTTTAAATCATGCTCCCTGCCCCGTAAGGGGGGGGGGGGCACAAAGGGTAACAAAGTTTAACATAGGAGTACATTGGAAAATCTTTAAAAGTCTTCTTCTCAAGAACCAGTGGGCCAGTAGAAGCATCCTTTGGTAGTGAAGATTTTGAGTTTGTTCAAATCATGACACCTGGGACAAAGATGGGTCCTTTATGGGTGATCAAAGTAGGATTACATAAAAATTATCTTTAAAAATATTCTTCTTGAGTTGTGATCAAAGTTGTGATTGGTCATAGTTATATGGATGCATCCTCGGATAGTCTAGATTCAAGTTAATGTTCAAATCATGACCCCCGGGGTAGACATGGGGCCAAAATGAGGTATCAGAGTTTTTACATAGAAATACTTCGGAAAAATTGTTAAAATGTCTCACAAAGCCATCACGATTGATCATCAATTTAAAGCATCATTAAAGTGGATCATAAATATAAACAACAAAGCCATATATTAATTCAAAAGCATTCTTAGGACATGTAGATTTAAGTTTGCCAGGTTTAAATCCCCCCATCCTTCAAACCCATTTTATAATATATTGAAACTTTTCAATACTGAACTGATTTTTGCTTTTACCTAGTTATTTGCTCAGGTGAGTGATGTGGCCCCTGGGCCTCTTGTTTGTGCTCAAATGAGCAATTTGGAGTATGTTTTTAGCTCACCTGAGCTGAAAGCTTTTTTCTGATCACATTTTGTCTGTCGTCCGTCTGTCTGTCTAGCTGTCTGTCTGTCTGTCTAGCTGTCTATCCGTCTGTAAACTTTTCACATTTTCGACTTCTTCTCAAGAACCGCTGGGCCAATTTCAACCAAAATTGCCACAAAGTATCCTTGGTTGAAGGGGATTCAAGTTTATTCAAATGAAGGGCCACGCCCTCATTCAAGGGGAGATAATTGGGAATTAATGAAAATTTGGTGGTATGTTTTAAAAATCTTCTTCTCAAGAACCAATGTGCCAGGAAAGATGAAACTTATGTGGAAGCATCCTCAGGTAGTGTAGATTCAAGACCATCATGACCCCCGGGGATAACGCGGGGTCAAAATGGCCGACCAAAGTTTTACATAGAGATATATAGGAAAATTCTTTAAAAATCTTCTTCTCAAGAATAACAAAGCTATAATTAATCATATATGTGATTGTAACAAGACTGGATCTACATGACTGCATAAAATGCCATTTCTTATCAAATGTGTGAATGCGGTTTTTTATACTAACTTTTACGACTGTAAAATGGTGAAAATATTGACCAAAATGATGTTCAGATTTGAAAATTGTCTCTAAAATCATTGTAAAAATTATTCTGCTCCAGTTTCATTGAAAAATTATAACTGATTCTTTATTTGTCATGCTTTCACAAACTAGGCTGAACTAATTTTATAATTATTTTTCCACCTCTTAATAGTAAAACTTGCATTAATGTGTCTGTAACAGGAAGGACAAAATTTTAGGTGAACCAGTATTTTGATTTCTTCTTACTCCGAAATCAAATAATTTCCAGGTTGGAGTTTAGTGTTTTTGTGTTCTTCAGATATGTGTTTTATGGTAACGATTTAAAAAATTTGATTCTAAATGCAAGGAATTTGCTGATTTTTCCAATATTTTTTTCTGCGGTTTTTGATGATGACTCTTATATGGAAGCATCCTCAGGTAGTGTAGATTCAAGTTTGTTCAAATCTTGACCCCCGCGGGTAGGGCGGGGCCACAATGGCCGACTGAAGTTTTACATAGAAATATATGCGAAAATTCTTTAAAAATCATCTTTTCAAGAATTGCAAAGCCATGATTGGTCATGGGACTACTTTTGGATTTGAACTTTTCAATAATAAACCAATTTCTACTTGTTCCCAGCCACAGTGCTCAGGTGAGCTATGTGGCCCATGGGCCTCTTGTTTTTATGATGTTTTTATCCAAGTACAAAACTTACATAATGGAGGAACTTGAGTTAAATTTAAACTAATTCTGCTTCTCTTTATATTCAAGGTTTGCAGTCTTCAATTGACATAGAGATCACTGTGGGGTCCATCTTGGATGTTGCCAATTCTGAAATAGTAATTCATATAATGTGTCACCCCTAATATTACTTTTGTCAAAGCTGTCATTAAATAATACTTTTCATTTATTAACTCATTTGTACACTATTGCTATCCTGTGTCAGTTCTTTGCGCATTTGTAATCCCTGACAAACTTCATTCATTATTTCCAGGCATGCTTCTCTTATTGATATTAGCACTAATGAAATTAAATTAGTCAGATAATGTAAGTTGAAAATAAATGAATGACACATTAAATGCATGTTTTAGCTTTACAAGTTAATTGTTACAAGCTGAGAGAAAACAAATGTTATCTCCAACTTTTAGTGTCTTTGTGTGTGGGGTATGTCTATGGCATATTGGTTCAAATATGAACACATTATTATATATATGTAATTTGGTATTAAACATGATCTATAGGTAACATTCTTTTTTATGATAAAGTGCATATTAATTTTTGGCAGGTTGATGTTATAGTCAATTCTACAAATCCTTCATTAGAACTAAAGAAGGGATTTGTTTCATCTCTTATTTTGGTTCACGGTGGCCAGGGAATACAGAATGAATGTGCAGATGAGTATAAGGATGGCATAGGCATTGGAGATATTGCTGTCAGCTCTGCCGGAAAACTTAAATGCATGAAAATTATTCACTGTGTTTTATTTGACAACTGGATGTCAACTGGAAACCTTTGTTTGAAGGTAAACTTTTAAAATCAAAACATTAAAAAAATTACTTGTGATGACTTTTTAGCTCACCTAAGCTGAAGGCTCAAGTGAGCTTTTCTGATCATATTTTGTCCGCCATCCATCTGTCTAGCTGCCTGTCTGTTCATAAACTTTTCACATTTTCAACTTTTTCTAAGAAACCACTTGGCCAATTTTAACCAAACTTGGTACAAAGCATCCTTGGGTGAAGGACAATTTGAATTGATACAGTGAAGGACCATAAGTCCTTCACAAGGGGAGATTTTCAAGAAAAGACAAATATAAGGTGGGGTCATTAAAAATCTTCTTTTCAAGAACCACTGGCCGAGGAAAGCTGAAACCAATGTAAAAGCATCCTGGGGTAGTTCAGATTATAAATTTTTCAAAACATTATCCACGGGGGTAAGGCAGAGCCACTATTTATAATCCAAGTTTTATATTGAAAGAATGAATGCAATTTAGTATGTCATTTGGAACCTTTTCGGTAGGGATGTCAACGCATATTCGAGTAACGCTTACTTCACAGAATGGGCGAAGCTTAATATCATTTTCATCCGTTGGTGTTCGTAAGTGATGGACCTGATGTTACATTACAAAAGACAGTACAAAATACATGTATGTGAAAAAAAATAAAATGAAAGGTATAACAAAACATTTATTGACTGTTTTTGGGCAAAATGTGTTTTGTCGACCCTCGAACCAGACTGTCTGCCTTCGGCCTAATGACCTCAGACAGACAGTTTGGTTCTTGGGTTCGACAAAATGCATGTTGCCCTCAAACTCAGTCAATAAATATATATTACTGTATTTGTGCTGTTGCAGAGTATCAAGTCCAACTGCTTCTTTTCTCTGCCTTTCTTATACTTTTATAATACAAAAACGTACAGTAAAGTTACATTCTCGACAGAGACCTCTGGTTTAAATTGATAATTTTTCAAGGTCCAAAAGATCATTAGTATAAAAGGCATTGCTTTTTTTTTAGCTCACCTGAGCCAAAGGCTCAAGTGAGCTTTTCTGATCACAATTTGTCCGTTGTTGTCGTTGTTGTCGTCGTTGTTGTCGTTGTAAACTTTTCACATTTTCATCTTCTTCTTAAGAACCACTGGGCCAATTTCAACCAAACTTGCAATAAAGTATCCTTAGGTGAATGGGATTCAGGTTTGTTCAAATGAAGGGCCACGCCCTTTTCCAAGGGGAGATGATTATGAATTGGAGAAAAATTAATGGCAATTTTAAAAATTTTTCTCAAAAACCACTGGGCCAGGAAAGATGAAACTCATGTGGAATCATCCTCCGGTAGTGCAGATTCAAATTTGTTCAAATCATGACCCCCGGGGGTAGGGTGGGGCCAAAATGGCAGATCAAAGTTTTACATAGGAATATATAGGAAAAATCTTTAAAAATCTTCTTCTCAATAACCACAGTGCCAGGAAAGATGAAACTCATGTGGAATCATCCTCAGGTAGTGTAAATTCAAGTTTGTTCAAATCATGACCCCCGGGGATAGGGTGGGGCCAAAATGGCCGATCAAAGTTTTACATAGGAATATACAGTGGACCTTCAGATATCCAGACGCCAGATATCCGGATGCTTCAGTATGCGGACGATTTTTCATCGGAACAGAATTTTGAAATGTTATTTTGTCTTGTTTAACTGGTGATTCGGGTATCCGGACGCTTCACATATCCGGACAAATTGACTGGGAACCAAAGCGTCCGGATAAATGAGGGTCCACTGTATAGGAAAACCTTTAAAAATCTTCTTCTCAATAAACACTGGGCCAGGATAGATGAAAGTCATGTGGAATCATCCTCAGGTAGTGTTGATTCAAGTTTGTTCAAATCATGACCCCCGAGGGTAGGGTGGGGCCAAAATGGCCGATCAAAGTTTTACATAGGAATATATAGGAAAAATCTTTAAAAATCTTCTCCTCAAGAACCACAGGGCCAGGATAGATGAAACTCATTTGGAATCATCCTCAGGTAGTGTAGATTCAAGTTTCTTCAAATCATGACCCCCGGAGGTAGGGTGGGGCGGAAATGGTCGATCAAATTTTAGCATAGGAATATATAGGAAAAATCTTTAAAAATCTTCTCAAGAACCACTTCATGACTTGGCCAGGAAAGATGAAACTCATGTGGAATCATCCTCAGGTAGTGTTGATTTAAGTTTGTTCAAATCATAACCCCCTTCGGGTAGGGTGGGGCCAAAATGGCCAATCAAAGTTTTACATAGGAATATATAGGAAAAATCTTATTCTGAAGAACCATTGAGACAGGAAAGATTAAACTCCTGTGGAATCATCCCCAGGTAGTGTAGATTCAAGTTTGTTCAAATCATGACCCCCGGGGGTAGGGTGGGGCCGAAATGGTCGATTAAATTTTAACATAGGAATATATAGGAAAAATCTTCTTCTCAAGAACCACTGGGCCAGGAAAGATGAAACTCATGTGGAATCATCCTCAGATAGTGTTGATTCAAGTTTGTTCAAATCATGAACCCTGGGGGTAGGGTGGGGCGGAAATGATCGATCAAATTTTAACATAGGAATATATAGGAAAAATCCTTAAAAATCTTCTTCTCAAGAACCACTGGGCCAGGAAAGATGAAACTCATGTGGAATCATCCTCATGTAGTGTAGATTAAAGTTTGTTCAAATCATGAACCCCGCGCGTAGGGTGGGTCCAAATGGCCGATAAAAGTTTTACATAGGAATATATAGGGAAACCTTTTAAAATCTTCTTTTCAAGTACAGTGGACCCTCATTTATCCGGACGCTTTGGTTCCCAGTCAATTTGTCCGGATATGTGAAGCATCCGGATATCTGAATCACCAGTTAAACAAGACAGAATAACATTTAAAAATTTCGTTCCAATGAAAAATCGTCCGGATACTGAAGCATCCGGATATCTGGCGTCCGGATATCTGAAGGTCCACTGTACTTCAAAGCTATGCTTAGTGAAATTTTTAGGGAATCATCCTCAGGTAGTGTAGATACTATTTTGTTCAAATCATGAGCCCCTGGGGGGTTAAATTCAAGCCCCCTCCCCCCCCCCCCTCAGTTAACTTTCAGTTCTGATCTGATATGTGCTTTTTCCTAGCCAATTGCTCAGGTGAGCGATGTGGCCCCTGGGCCTCTTGTTTTATCAATATGATTGATAATTCATTTATCAATTTATTTTATGAGAAAATATGTTATCAGTCATAAAGGCATCCTGTATTTTGTGGTATCTCTTTTTATATTCGGTCAAAGTAATTGTATTTCAGTCTTACATTTTTCTCTTAAAACAACAGATTTTGTCAAGTGTTGTGAGGAGATGCCTTTCAGCTACAGAGAAACATAAATTCACATCAATAGCATTTCCAGCTCTTGGGACAGGAAATTTGGGATATCCATTCATCCATGTTGCACAAACAATGTTAAAAGCTGTGAATGATTATGGAAAACAGTTTCCAAACACCTGCATCAAGACTGTGCATATAGTTCTTCATGATTCAGAAAAAGAATGCATTAAGGTAAAGAAAAAGGTTCTACGGTACTTGGTATATACTCGACAATAAAAATGCTAATATACATGTAAGCTAAAAGTCTTGTAGTTCATTCACAGATTGTCTAAAATTCATTGATAAACATTAATTGCCCATATTTAAATCAAAGAACTTATGACCAGAGAATTTTAAAATATATTTGTTCAAGGTCCTTTTGGCATGTCCAATGTCCCCTTTAGAAAATTGTATTTGAGCAACTTAAAATATTGAACCTTGGGGTGTAAATTTTAAGCTTACTCACAGTACTTCTAGTTAATCATGTTCATTTTGTATTTCAGTCATTTACGAATGTGCTTGACAGTGAACTACATACATCAGCCACTAAGATTGAAGGTACATGCAATTAGGCCAAAATAAAAAATAGTCTTGTTTCCTGCTACCCGACCTACCCTATTTTTTTGCATCGACCCTAATGTTTTTTTTAGCTTTTGGGGAAAAAATTCAAAATTTTAGAAATTTCATGTTTCAAAAGTGAAAAAATTTATATATTCTCAAGTTGTATTTCATGAAATATATGTTTAAAATATGGACTTTCATAAAATTCCACTTGAGTTGTGCATCCAAAGACATGGAATTTCATTTTGAAAGATGATATTGACCTTAGCTATCTAAGCTATGACATGTTCAATTTGGTTTTGTAGTAGTTCATATCCAAAAAAATACCATTGGAAAAAATAAAATAAAATTAAAAAATAAAATAATTTTCCTACCTACCTACCCTATTTTTTTCTGGCTGGTAGCAGGAAACAAGACTATTATTTTTTTTGGCCTTAGATATTTTATTGAAAGCAGAATTCCATTTTGATATTATATTTATCTTCGACCATTTTTTTTGTGCTCTGAATATGGCCAGTGCAAAAGTATATGCCTTATCCTCTTGACAGATTGCATTATACTTTCCAGAAACTGTTCAAGATATTTTTATCACAATCTTAACAGGCTCTTTAAGGTATTCAATCCCTAATAGGAACAAATTCAACGAAATTGAACACTTAACAGATGTGAAGGCATTGAATACTCAGTTTATAGACATACTTCCCATTTATTATGCCCCTCTTCGAAGAAGGGAGGGCATATTGCTTTGCTGCTGTCTGTCGGTCGGTCTGTCGGTCCACTTAGTTTCTGTTCATTTTCTTCACAACCGTTGCACATACTGAAATGAAATTTTGTATACAGATATATCACATGAATTTCTAGGTCAAGTTCTGGTTTGGGTACGTTCGCGCCATTTTTGACAGAGTTATACCCCTTGGACTTAGGAAAATTCCAATTATTTGCAGTTTCCGTTCATTTTCATTGCAACCGTTGCACATACTGAGATGAAATTTAGCATACAGATTTATCAGATGAATATCTAGGTCAAGTTCTGTTTTGGGTACAATCGCTCCATTTTTCACTGAGTTATGCCCCTTGGACTTAGAAAAATTTCAATTATTTGCAGTTTCCGCTCATTTTCTATGCAACCGTTGCACATACTGAAATGAAATTTTGTATACAGATGTATCACATTAATATCTAGGTCAACTTCTGTTTAAGGTATGATTGCACCATTTTTGACTGAGTTATGCCCCATAAAAAAAATTCCAATTATTTGCAGATTCCGTTCATTTCTTCACAACCATTGCACATGCTGAGATGAAATTTAGTATACAGATTTATCAGATGAATATCTAGGTCAAGTTCTGTTTTGGGTACAATCGTGCCATTTTTGGCTGAGTTTTGCCCCTTGGACTTGGAAAAATTCCTATTTGGGGGGAGGGGGGCATAAGTGTTTTACAAACATCTCTTGTTACTATTAGTATGTATAGTGGGATGTGTCCTAATTTATGACCTAGAATTTTGGTAAGAGTTATCTCCCATAATTTTAATTAATAAAAAAAATCAATTAAAAAAATTTTAGCCGGTAAAAAAGCTGTTTCAATAGTCATTCTATTTCTAATTAATTCAATGTATCTTTCCACCGCAGGATTTATGGACATTCAAATTATTTGAATTTTTATTCTGAAAAAACGCTTTTTCCCATAGACTTCAATGCAATCTTTTTTAATTAACTACTGCTTAATTAATGAAATTTTTGAAACTTTCTCACGGGCAATCCTTTTCAAATATAAACTGCTTTAATATAATATCAGAGTATTACGTACTTGACACATGTTTAAGGGTAGAGAATTTTAGTCCCATTAGGGATGGAAATCCTTAAATTATAATGAGAGCATTGTGACTGCATCCAAATTTTTTCGTTTTTACTTTGATCACACTTCTTTGCTCATCTGAGTTGAAAGCTTAGCGTCAGCTTTTCTAATCAATTGTTATTGGCTCTTCTGAGCCAAAGGCTCAAAGAGCTAATGCTATGGCCATTTGTGCGGTGTGCGTAAACTTTTTAGAAAATGGGCCATAACTCAAGAACCCCTTGGCCAATCAGTGCCAAATTTGTCACAGCTAGGGTATCCTTGGCCCAAGGGCTACCATTTATACTAAAATAAGGGTTGGGACCCTTAAACAAGGGGAGATGATCAGGAAAACAAAACCAAAAGTACTGGTTGCTAAAAAATCTTCTCCAGAACCACCAGGCAGATTTTCACCAAACTTACATACAAGGATCAGGATATGTTGAAGATTAAAATTTGCACGGGGAATTACCCTGGGGCAAAGGGTGTGGTCTCAAGGTCACTTCAAAGTTGACCTAAATTTACAATTAATAAAAACATGTATATTTTGCTTACTATAAGGACTAGGATCATCAAATCTTGTAAGTTAATGCATCTTAGGACTTCACATCATGTTTACTCAAAAGTAGGTCACGATGACCTACTTTTTAACTTTTGAGGGCATTTGTTTTCAAATTGATTTGAAGGCATATTTCGGACACTTTAAGGCCTATGATCATCAAACTTTGTCAGTTGATGCATCTTGGGTCCTTGAACAATGTCAACTTAAAGTAGGTCACCTTGATCTATTATTTGAATTTTATGGTTAATCTTTTCTAAAACATTTAATCCCATTATTTCAGACACTGGGAGGTTTAGAATCATCAAATCTTGTAAGTTTCTGCATTTTGGAACCTTAAAAGATATTTATGAAAAAGTAGGTCACTGTGACCTACTATTTGAATTTTGCTGGCGTTTGTTTTCAAATTGTTTAAAATGCATATTTTGATTACCTTCAGACCTACGATCATCAAACTTAATCAGTAGATGCATCTTGGCTCTTTAAAAAATGTCGACCAAAATGTAGGTCACAATGACCTGCATTTTGGGTTTTCGGAGAATGTCGATCAAAAAGTAGGTCATAGTGACCTACTTTTGACATTTTGTGGCTATAATTAAGTATCTCTAGTACTTATATATTGACCTAGAATCATCAAACTTTGTCAGTTGATGCATCTTGGGTTTTCGGAGATTGTCGACCAAAAAGTAGGTCACAGTGACCTACTTTTGACATTTTATGGCTATATATTTAAGTATCTCAGGCACTTATTGGCTAAGAATCATCAAACTTTGTCAGTTGAGGCATCTTGGGTTTTCAGATAATGGCGACCAAAAAGTAGGTCATGGTGACCTACTTTTGAATATCTCAGGTACTTATTTACTTAGAATCATCAGTCTTTGTCAATTAATGTATCCTGAGTCCTCAGAAAATTTCAATTAAAAGGTAGGTCACTGTGACCTTCTTTGGTATTTTATAATTATATTATAATACCTTCAGTCTTAACAGGGTATATATTATCAAACTTTGTCAGTTGATGCATTTTGGGTCTTATTATGCTAATAGAGTTGGAATAATAACTTAAAATAGAAGTGATAGATTCTACAATTTATCAGAAGAGCGATTCAAGGCCTTTGGGCCTCTTGTTTACTATTATCTGTCCGTCTTTAACTTTTCACATTTTCAACTTCTTCTCAAGAACCAGGTGGGCTAATTTCAACCAAACTTGGCACAAAGTATCCTTTGGTGAAGGGAATTCAAGTTTGTTCAAATAAAGGGCCATGCCCTTATTCAAGGGGAGATAATTGAGAAATAGTGAAAATTTGATGGTATGTTTTAAAAATCTTCTTCTCAAGAACCACTGTGCCACTATCCATCGGTAAAGAAAATTCCAAATTTTATAAAATAAAGGGTGAAGCCCCCTTAATAAGAGGAGATAATCAAGTATCGTTTTATAATTAACTCATGGGTCGCTATTGGTTTTCTGGTCACTGGTTGAGATTTGATGGTTACTTTGGTCACAGCTAGTTTAATTATCAGTCATTCTAAAAAAACATGACCAATTAAGGTTTTCTATGTCGCTTACAAATATACCACTCTAATATCTTGACTATAAATTTTATGATCGTTTTCAACTGTAAGTCTCAACATACACACATGATTTTGTAAATATTTACCTATATGTATGCAGTTCAAGTTTCCATAAGAATATAATGTAATGTTGAAAAACAAATTCAATTGCAAATCTTCATGTCGCTTCATTTATTTACAATTTTATTTAAGATGGAATTCTCAGCCCTAGAAGAGTCCCAAACAGATTGTGATGAATGTTACCAAAAGTTTTTTATCCTACATAAAATGAAATCAAACCACTTCTTGCAAAGAAATGCATGGATCTCTTTCATGCAAAATCATTGCATGTTGCTAAAAATTGATTAACTTCGGTAACAATCTGATTAAAATACAGATCTCTACATAGCACAAAGTGCTCTCTGCGTATTTTAATCATATTGCTTTGGTAACCATTTTTAGCTCACCTGAGCCAAAGGCTTTTCAGATCACATTTTGTCCATCGTCCGTCCGGCTGTCTAGCTGTCCGTCTGTCTGTCTGTCCATCTGTAACTTTATCACATTTTCTACTTCTTCTCAAGAAGTTCACTGGGCAGATTTTGACTAAACTTGAAACAAAGCATCCTTAGGTGAAGTAAAAATTAAATTGTTAAAATGAAGGGCCAAGTCCCCTCACAAGGGGAGATAATCAAGAAAAGACAAAAAAAGGGTCGGGTCATTAAAAAATCTTCCTCTCAAGAACCACAGGGCCAGAAAAGTTGAAACTTGTGTGGAAGCATCCTGGGGTAGTGTAGATTCTAAATTTTTCAAATGATGACCTCTGGGGGCAGGGCGGGGATGCAATAAGGAATCAAAGTTTTACTTAGAAATATGTAGGAAAATCTTTAAAAATCTTCTTCTCTAGAACCACAGGGCCAGAAAAGCTGAAACTTATGTGGAAGCATAGTTGGGTAGTGTAGATTCTAAATTGTTTAAATCATGACGCCCGTGTGTAGGGCGGGGCCGCAATAGGGAATCAAAGTTTTACATAGAAATATATAGGAAAAAATCTTCTTCTC